GGGGGGGGGCGTTGAAATAAATTACAAAAAAAATATTTGCCCAAATTTGCCCAAAAATCTGAAATGTTGGTTAGAAACCTTAGTCCTTGTTCTTCTACATGGCATATATTTTGTCTTGCCGCCCTTTGCCGACTTCAAAAAATAAATCAGTTTAAAAGTTTGCCCTTAAAAATTTTCACTTCTGACCTCTCGTAGATCGCGAAAACAATACCCAAAAGGAAGTAACAGCTGTTCTCTATCACGTGTTAAGGTAGGGTTGTTCCCGATGCAGTAGTTGAGACACGCCGTGCATTGTAAGAGCGGGTTGAAATCTGATACTCTGGGGACAGTTTTAATGGCGCTTCGCGAAATAGAACAACTAACGCCACCTAGGGACGTCTGCGCTCGCTACAGTGTGTTGACCGTACGGTTCAGCGTTTACCCGTCATTTACTGGTTAGCGGTGTGTAATTACCTGTTTTTGTAATTTAGGGAATATCTGTAGATCTCCAATAGCTGAAGCTGTTTTCCGAGATGAAGTAATGTTCAAAGGATTGGAAGACCAGGTTAGTGAACCAAAGTCGATTCAAGCGTCATTTTGGGGGGTTGGCGTTAGGTCTTACGGTTTGTTTACACTTAAGTTAAATTGTGCTCGTATGTCCCTCAAACTTAAAGGTCTTTGGTTTTCAATGTCTTCCTTATTCAGCTACGTGGTGACTTTGAACAGTATCTCTGATATTCAAATTAGTAAGCTAGGACAATTTACTCAGTGAAAACACTTTCAACATTGAAAACACTTTCCACATGTAATAACTTAAATAAGACACTTTAGGGTAGTAAGAATATGAAAATTTCTTGAAAAAAGGTCCCTGTTTGAAAAAAAAAGTTTTAGAATTAATATAGACTGAAAAAGGTTTCTATACATAGTAGAACCACTGAGTACTTGTACATGTTCCTGATCAAAAGAAAGCTGCCCGCCTCCCTTCCACTTCAAGGCCGGGTTCAGCTATCACCTATAACTAATGTTAGACATCAGTAACTTGAACCATCATTTTATTTTAATTGCTATGTACAGACAAAATCAAATTGATAAACATAGATATGCAGATAACATGCTTGTACACCGAAGAAATATACATAAATGATAATATGATTTTATCTTTTGTTTTACAGAAGCAAATCTATGAACAAATTTGCCACATAGATATGATGACACTTTTTGTTTATTATTTTTATTATTTTATTTATTTATTATTATTATTATTATTATTATTATTATTATTATTTATTTTTTATTATTATTATTATTATTATTTTTTTTTTTTGCATTTTTGAAAATGGATAATGCTGTTGGTTTCAACTTTGGTTTCAGAGGGAATGTATATACCCCTGTACTGTTTATGGAATTTTGTTTAAAAATTCATGGCATTCTCAGTTTTATGGTACCTAACAGCCACCAATCTAGTAAACTACAAACTGAGAAATACATTCAGCAATGCTTTTTCTTCACTTGGCAGCTAATTTTTATTTGAACTGCTTGCATTCTGATTATTTTCTAATCTTGAAACAGTGCTATTTTGACCTGTGGCATAAATATCCCCATATCTTTATTTTAAAAATATGATATACTATTATATATATGTGTGTGTTTAGGACATGAATAAATGTAAAAACCCTATGTGCAATTTGTTAGTAAAGATTCTGGAGCCTTGCTAATAGCCCAACTGTCAGTCATTGTGTCTCGAATTAAATCATTGTGCAATAATTTTAGACACCCATCATTCTTGTTGCAATATACTAGTACCCATTGTTTAAGACAAACAATACCTGTACTCCTAAGTGATTGCATACAGTGTGCTCATCTGTTTATACATAGTTCTAAACAAAATTCAGAGAAAAATATAAGAGGTCAGCTAGGAGATTCCACAATAAATGGTCATTATGCTTAAAATTTCAAAATATTTTTTTACTGTTGCCAAACTTATGAAGTATAAAAAATTTGAGGGCAAAGAATGCAAACAGTTGGTGGTTGACTGCATGGGTAGGGAGGTCAGTTTTATGCTATAAGTGTATTTTACCAGCATATTTTGTGTGACAAGTGTGTATATGTGAATTCCTTAGTGAGTGCATGCAGTTTAGGGCATGTACAAGTATATGTTTGTTTTTCATTCAAATTTGTTTTATCTACCAGTTGATAAATGTCTTTTTGGTTGAAAATTAACTGTTAGCTTGTATTTCATGTTGTGGCAGCTTGTACAGTTGGTTATAGACCAGTCTGACATTTTTCTTCTACCTTCCTTGGTATTTATGATATAGATGAACTCTCTTCTTTGTACAACAATAGCAATTTTTGCTCATTTATGTAGAAATGTGCGTTTTTCAGATTTTTTAGCATACACAATACACAATGTTGCACTTCCTCCTTTGGTTTTAAGGCTGTGAGTTTAACTACAATCATCTCATGGATGCTTTATTTTTAAATTTTATTTATTTATTTATTATTATTATTATTAATTAATTAATTAATTAATTTTTTTTGCTATTGACTCAGTATTGTGTATGTGCTTGAAAAAAACTGCTATACATGCTCTCAATTCAAATGCAACAAGCAACATTATCTATTGATGTGTGAGCAAATGACTGAGCCTGCCTTGCTTTGTACCAGTACATGTATTGTTTACTTCAGTGGGTGGTAGACAGTGCTGGGACATCTGACTGGAATATTGGGAGTTCTCCTGATTCCAGAGGTATAGATTGCTTACATCGTTATGGCAAGTCTTCTAACCACATAGCCAGGCAGGTTAGTCTTCTATTCTAACAGGCTTATTATTCTAACATGCATGAGGTATTGGATTGAATTGCAATCATCATGAAATTTATATCATACCATCCTCTTAAACCTCTATTTGTTAGTCTTCTGCAAAGTTTATTAGATTAATTATAATATTTTAAAATATTTATTTAAAAAAAGACAAGGCTCTTAGGCTAGTTTGTCTTTTTCATTTTTTTACCATGCAAGTTAACTTCATTTTTTAAACAGAAAAAAGCTAGAAATAGAACATTTCAGAATGTGCCAGCAAAAATGCATAAAATGCAAAAATGTATAAAAAATCAAATATAAGTTGTGATAAAAGATATGGTATGATACATGTAAAGTGATAATTGCAAAACAATTCTAAGTTCAGTTAAATAGTAACATAATTACTGTTACACAGGTAATTATTTTAAAAATCTTCTAGTGGCTAATAGACAGCTGTGGTATTGGACATTGGCATATTGGTGAGAAACCAGACAAGAGAGCAAGAGAGTGTTTAAAACAACACAAACTTGAGACTTACCATCGTGGTAGACAGGTATAAAAGAAAATTACTTGCGGTCATTTAGTTTATTCAAATATCTTTTTTTTTTAAACAAAATTCATGATGTTATGCAACTTTTATTTGGCATGCATTATTTTGGAAGACAGGACAAATATAACTCTTTTAGTTGTAAAAGTATGGCCTTTTATGTCAAATTGTTCCTTGTAAATAACCAACTGACGAGGAGGAAAAATATTTAGTGAAAAGTATTAAATGGAATTAAAGCAAAATATAATTTTGCTTTTTGTCCACAAGAAAAACCATTAATTTTTTATTTAATATTACATACTATTACTATTAAAATTGGAGTTTGTTTTTTCAGCTGGAGAAAGCAGACTTCAGCAAATTCCAATACATCCTAGGAATGGACGAAAATAATATAAAGTTTGTTGCACCCATGGGAATTCTTTTATTTATTCATAAATACATATTTAATTTTATTCTTTTATTCTCAGAATTATAGCATTATTGATAAAACTTGCAACTTTTCATCCAGCTTAGTTTAAAATCGAAATTAACATCTTTTTTCATTGAAAAAAATAAGGTTGTATATTTTGAAATTAAAAATACATAATTGCATGTTACTCCCTCTGTTCCTTTTTAAAATGAAATTTATGTTTGCAGAGAAATAAAGAAAAAAATGCCCAAGGACAGCACAGCAACAGTGAAACTTTTAGGGGAATATGACCCAGAAAAACAGCTGATTATAGTGGACCCATACTATGTGAGTCAGTGTTTTCATATTTATATAGTTATACAATTATTAAAATGTTTAGTTAGTGTCATTAAATTTTTCTGCAATGATATATTCTCAAAAGTTTTGCGCATTCAAATGAAATTTGTGCAGACCTTGAACATAAAGATTCTGTCTAACTTAACATTTCATATTTTTGTTTCATGTTATAGTGTTTATTATTTTGTTGAAAAGTAAGAACATCAGAGTTGTTTTAGTTGTGTATTGTTTGTGTGCATGTGTGTTCTGAATTAGGTGTCAGTCTTTCATTTAGATGAGTCAATTTTTTGTGTTCTCTAGGGAGGGGAAGATGGCTTTGAGAGAGTATATCAGCAGGTGTTGAGATGTTGTAAAGCTTTTCTAGAAGAGGCCATGGCAGCCTAGAAGAGTGATACACATGGTGGCTTTAAGAGGGTATACACTGTATCAGCAGGTTTCTGGAGGTCATAAAGCTGTTCTAAAAAAAGGCATATAGCAGCCTAGAAGAGTGATACACATGAATCAGCAACTGTGATGCTTGTGGTAGCTCAGAGAAAGCTTGATCCAATTCTGTATAGCTGAAACCAATAATTCCTGCTTTTAAAGGAAAAAGAAGAAATTTTCTTTGGTTTTGAGGTAATTGAGCAAAAGTTCAAGGACAAGATTATAAAGATCATGCATTTTAAATAATGGTGTACCGTTTCACATTAAAGAAGAACGATTCTTATATAGTTGAATCAAATTTGTGCATTGCATATTGTCCTTTTTGCTTCTTTCTTGTTGCTTTTACTGTTTAATAAAGTTATCATTTACAAGTTTTGCCTGCCAAAACGAATATTCTTCAAAGAAAATTTTTTGTCCTACTCGCATATCATGGCTCAATTAACTTTTATTTAAGGAGTTTTTCATCTTTAAGGTCTGGATGGAAAATATAAAAAGTTTTGTAGGATAAAGAAATTATGTGGGCAAAAACCCTTACCATTTTAATATATTTCATTTTATATTTTCTCCTTCACATAAACCTTGTTCATATATATATTATTGCAACTAATGTCAAGACCTAGATACTCTAATGTGTATTCTAGCATTCATATTGAATAATGCTTCCTGCTAGCTGGTTGAAATATCTTGCAGTGTGATCCTTTTTCAATTATTTCAAAGTGGTAAATGAGCGGCAAAGTTGGCAGTTTCATTAATCTTTTTAGTATTGTGCAACTGCATTCAATACATTATGGTAGTAATGCAGCCCCTGCAATAGTACTGGTAGGAATAATTGTTCAAATATAGGGGTGGATCTAGATGTATTTCCTGACAGTCTTTCAAATTATCTTTGTTGATACATCCTCCATTTTTGACTGAAAAAAATTAGATACCCGTCAATGTAAACATGAAAACCCAGAAGACAGCCTCAATCCGCACCTGCCATGAGGCCATAACTGTATTGAACATAAAACTAAACTTTAAAAGAAAAATCAATTTGAATTCTGTTTTATTTCATGCCATCTTGCATTTTGTCAATGTTAAATGCATAATGCTCATCAAGATATTAAAAAACATCAAAATTCAGGAATGTTCTTGTTGGTTTTTTCTTCTTAGCCTATGTTCTTAATAGCAGTATTCAGCTGGGTCCACAAATCCCCCAGATCAGACTTCAACCACCTCCTTTAGCTCCTTCAACTTGGCTTCTCCAGCTTCTTGAGTGTTGTTAAGAACCTAGTAATAAACCATGGTAATATAAATGTAATATATTGAAAAAAGAACCCCCTGTGAAGTAATGCGGAAGATATTATATTTTGAGAATTAGCATGGCTCAGTGGGAAATGGTGTGGGATGCCACTTGGACACTATAATCTGGCATGTCTGCAGTATGATGGAATTATATATAATAACGAATAAAAAAGTCTATGTTAAAAGACCTAAGCTAGGCCCTAACAACACTTACATTATATTGGGTCCTAGACCTAAGCATACATGTGCATGTCTTCAAAATGATTCAAACAAGTACAAAGTTTACTTACGGTCGCAGTCATCAGCTTGATGTTCTCCACGTGTCCTCTGGCTTCATCCACTCCTGCCCCAAGTTTTTCCTTGACGAATTTAGCAAGATCATCGTATTGACCCTTGAACTTTGCAAATACTGACTGCAAGCTGTCCACGAATTTAGCCCAAAGGGCTCTAGTTGCACGTTTTCCTGAAAAAATAAAAAATGCAATTAAAAAAAGGAAATGGGGAAAATCACAGTTTTGGACATGCTACGGTTGCTTTGTTACCAGTTTTCCATTTTATTATGAAAAAGTTTTGTTTTTTTTTAGGTGGGGGGGGGGGCGTTCAGATAGACCCGTTGATGGGCGTAGGTTTTTTAGTGAGGTGCACGTGGGATGGGGATGGCGGATGTTCAAGGGTTATGCGTTTCAGGTTTGGAGACATTTTTAAGCTTAAAGAATTAAACCAAGAGTTGGTCATCTTTTCACAAAAATCTGCTGTGGTAGGACCATTATTGGTAGTTTGCCTACGTATGTTAGTGGAGGAAATATTAAACTTCACATTTATTTTTGTAAACATTGTCTTTTATTTATTTTAAAATAAGTTTCAAAATGTTTATAATGTTTTAAAGCCTGAAATGTATTGTAATTTTTCGGATTATTAAAATGGAAATAAAGCTTGAAGATATGCCAATCAAGTAAATACATTGTCACGAGTAAATCTACAAAACAAAAACCAAAACATACCGAAAATTCCTTTGAAAAACCCGAAAAAGTTGTCAAACATAGATTTAAATGCTTTATAGAAGTTCTCTCTGATGCCCTGTAATTGTTGAAGAGTACTTTCAATGGCTTTCTTGGCGTCAGCTGTGAGTTTGTTATGGATGTTCTTGGCGTCGTTGTAAGCTTCTCTGCCTTCTTCCTTTAACAGTTCGGTGTAGTTAGCGAGCTTTTGCAGCATGTCGTCAGTAACCTGAAGATCGATTGTTATAGACTAATTGTCACGTTTTATAAGCTCTTCTGAAAACAGAAATTTAGGAATATGAAAAATAATAAATTTATAATCAACAGTCAAAAAGGGAGATCATAATGTTTTATAAGTCACAGCAAAATGCGGTTAATTCACTTTTTTCTGTTGAAGTATAAATTTAAATGCTTTTAAAAACAACTAAGATACCTTAGCTCTTAAAACAACAAAATATGTAAAACGTTAACGAAAAGTATTCCTCGATAACTGAAAGTCAAAAAGTGAATAGGTTGATGATAAGTCGAAAGTATTAAGATACAAAAGTCGCATGTGAATGTGTTAAGTTCATATTTTGTCTTAAAAACTAAATCCCACAGCGTGTCATGGCAAACACTTTTTTGATACCTTCTTTCCGTGTTCAACGGCGTCGTTTATTTGGTTAACAGTTTTCTGGAGAGCAGACTCCAACTGCTTTCCAACATCGGTCTGAACAGCACGAAGGACGCTGCAAAACAAAATGTTTATAACTGATAAAACACTTACCGCCTTTAATATTCATACGCTAATAACTTCAAATCTATTTGACTATGTACAAAAACAGTTAAGAATATTTTATGAGACGATAAACTCCATTCAACCCTCACCCCTAGTCACTGGTCATATTAAAAAGATGACTAAGTCCGGCCCTTGTCATGCACGCCACAAAATTCGAGTAATGTCTAAAAATTCAATAATAATAATAAATACATAAATAAATAAAATAATAATAAGAAGAGAAATACTTACGCTTTCTCCTCTTCGTCCAAATCACGCTTGCTGATCTCCTCATCAAAAACGGATCTGAAAGCACGAACGGCAGCCTGGATCTCGTCCTCAGCAGCTGAAACATTACGATATATATATATATATATATATATAAAGCATAAACGGCAACCTGGACATCGTCCTCAGCAGCTGAAACTTAATGAAATATATACAATATAAACCACGAACGGCCGCATGGATCCTCAGCAACTGAAACATTATGATATATGTAATACAGGGTAGTGTACATCGAATGCAGTCACGAGTGGTGTATGCGTGTATCACATACCCATTTATGAAAAGTATAACTGCCGAAAATGAGTATAAAGGTGAATGTATGCATCTTTGAAACAGACGCACTAGAAGATTTAAGTAAAAAGAAGCAGGGTTATTCGACATGCGATATACAAAGATTCTACTTGAAACATAACTTTGTCTCTTTGATCTAAGCCGACTTAAATAATAAGACGTGACTATTAAAAGAACAGAACAAATTCAAGCATGGTGTTCGAAATATGGCCGATGGCGACCGCATTTACAGAAGGTCCCTCTAATAAATGAAACAAAGTTATAAACAATTAATTGTGTTGATTAATGATATTAACGTAACCACACGTCCCTTGCATCTATAAACGGCTATCGAGCATAAGACTGGATAGAATTTACTCCTCTTTGAAGAACTTACTTTGAAATCAATCGTCAAGTTACCATATCCATTACATTTGCCCACCAGTCAAAAATACCACGTTCTGCTAAAACCAGGGCGACGGTCTAGAAAATAAGACAAAGTTTTTGCAAAATAATATTGAATACGAATGAGAAAATGTTTCAAGAATATGCAAGCGGAGTATATATATATGGGTTCCAGCAGACCTTGAGATACGAGGACAGCAGGGTGATCTTCAACGAGGAAAGGGTTTCAGTTAAAAATTTAAGAAATTGAGATCATGCACAAAGTAAAATTAATGTTATAATTTCGCTCGGATTCAAATATTAATCTAGTATATAGGAATGATACTGCTTTTGATAAATGAAAAACTAAAGGTGACATTGACCATTGTACTAAAAGTTTCAAAACACAATTAATATCTGTTTCTGTTGAGTATTTGTTGCCCTAAAAAGTCGTTGTACCAAAAAAAACCCTGCGATTGGTATTGTCACATAGTTGCCCTTACCTCATCGAGGAGTTCCTGCTCGAAGTTTTCAAATAGGTCACGTTTGCCTGTAAATAGAATAAAAAATGAAGATCACGCTGCTGTAACTGAAAATGAAATGTGTATTCATTTTCTACAATTACTTCATGTATATTTAAACTGCGTTTACCGGAGATTTAAAGAGAAACAGTAATTTATCATAAGTTCTTTTAAAAATAATATTTGCCCGACTTTTACAGTGTGTAGAGACGGGTGAGCCAAGAAAGTAACCAGCAGCATGGTTAATGCCTCATCGGAAATTACAAAGAAACATAACAACATCACTATCAGCATAATAGGACGCCGAAGAAATACCCAAAGGTTGATTCAGCACCAGATTGACTTTTATTTCTTTGAATTAGATCTTGATAAAGGAAGAAATGCAATGATAAGAACAATATTATACTAACCGAAAATCCCGGCCACCCAGTCAGTGAAACCAGAGAGCTGATCTTTCAGACTACTCATTACGGCTTTGGCATCGGCTAGGTACTTGCCACCAAGTACCTTCAGCCGCTCGGCCAGCTCTTGAGCCTGTTCAAGAAGAGCCTTGCTGACCTTGAATTAATAAATGATTAAGTTGTTAGAGGAAATCGTGGTCTTAGCTAACTATGCGTATTATTTGGTGATGTAAAATTCTGAAACCAATTAATACTATGAGAAGACATAAAAGCCAATTATTTACTACGTACAACGTTAATACCTGTTTTTGATAATTAAGTTTATTTTCTGTTCATTTAATTTTTAATGATAATTCTCAAAATCATTTTTATGGACGTATAGATTCGCAAACATACGTGGTGTGTTTTTGCTAGGGCTGAGTTTATCTTATCGGTGACATTCTTAAGTTGTTCCTCCAGAGCCTGTCCAAGGGCAGTCTGAGTTGCCCTTGCAATTCTATAATTAATACAATAAAATTTCTTACATTTCTCCTTCAAGATGATCTTACAATGGATTATCTCAATAGTAAAAGCAAAAGAATAACTACGCATATCCGAGATGATATGGACCACATACACGTCAACTATTCAAAGACTTTATTTCAAAGAGAAAATAACAAAGCGACGGCGATATATATATAGATTGCACATATTGGTCACGATCATATACATATATGGCGGCTAGTACGTGGTTAAGTTGGTAAAGTGGCGATTTAGATTCTAGAAGTAGTAGTAGCTGTTACTTACGGGTTAGTATCACGAATATGACGTGGTGAGTTGATTTCACTCACGAGAGCCGAAATCTCATTGTCCAGATTCACTGCAAAAGTAGTTATAAATAGTCAGAAGGCATTTAGCTAATGACACATCGTGATCGAAGCCTTGAGAATGTTATCTATTTTTTTTATTATAAATAATAAATAAATTTTGTCTAGCGCCCTTTATAAGATGAATTAAGTTTAATCTAAAAGTTTTACCCTAATGATTTACCGTATACAAAATTTATGCTGTTTTGGTAAGTAACGAATGCATAAAAACAGTAACGGATAGTTTTTAATGAATTGAACCATCTACGATTTGCTGTTTGCTGGGAACAGAATAGGTCTAATACACCAGTGCATGTGTTACTATGAACTTGTAACAGAAAAAAACCAAAACTTAATGAACACTTACGGCGAACGAAATCCGCCTGGGCACCAACAAAGGCGGCAACAAGTACAAATAACAAGACCTTCATAATTGCTGAAATAAAACAACCAACATATAAACTCAGAGATACTCACAGATTCAAAACATTTGGCAGATTACATGAGGAAATCTTATATGCCACACGGGTTCCCAAAAAGGCTGTTAGTTCCCAATAAGAATAATTTCTGATATCCAAAACCCAAGGCAGCAGATTGACATCAGGTAACTCAATAAAACAAGAATTAATAATTTTTAATTTACAAGGAAACTTTTTGACCTCAGCTTACCTTGCTGCCCGAATGAATATATGGAGTGAATTGCCACAGAACCACATCGGTTTTTATAGTTTCACAGTGTGAGAGTGCACGGTTGAGTCTTATCTTACGGGACGAGGTGAGAGGCACAGCAGGACAGGAGGCGTCACCTTTCAACATGCATTTAGTACAAGACGTGATCAGGGGTGTGTATTTGGAATTACGATGACTGTTAAGAGACACATATTCTCCCTACTTATAAATTACTTGGGGTCAAACGGCTGGCAAATGGACACTGAGGAGAGCTACTGATGTCACTAAGTAGCACTCAACAAAACTCAGTTATGTCCACCGTCTCAATCAGGCTCTGCCAAGCTAGTCGCATGTCTCGCCTCCACGTGGTGGCCCTGGAAATGCTGAAGCTGAGAGGCAGCGGCGAAAGGCGGGTTTCGGGCGCCTGATAACCCGATTTAGTGACTAAGGGAAGGAAATCCCTGACAAAAAACCCTGGCCCTCCTGGTAGGGGGTTGGGCGTGGGGCCAACAACCCCACCCCGGAAAACCATAACAGTTACGGAAACGGCAACAAAGATATTCAACACTACTCGATGTGCTGAGCCCCCAGAGTCATTGTCGACTTATATGACTGACAGTGGTCAAATCCACCTGGAAACTACTGCCATGAAGATGGGCGTTTTGCACACAAAGACTAAAACCAGAATTGGCTTTTGGAATGTGAGAACCATGTATGAAGCTGGAAAACTAGCAGAAATTATAACAGAGATGGAGCGCTACAAGCTACACATATTGGGCATAAGTGAATGTAGATGGACTGGCTCTGGCAGACAAAAAGCAGCAACAGGAGAGACGGTAATATTTTCAGGACGAGAAGACGGACAACACCATGAAGGCGTTGCCATTATCCTACGAAAAGAAGTGACCCACTCCATGCTAGAATGGGAGCCTGTTAACAGCAGAATTATAAGGGTACGATTGAAAGGGAACCAAGTCAACCTGACAGTGATCCAGTGCTATGCACCCACAAACGACAGAGAAGACGATGTAAAAGATAATTTCTATCTCAGTTTA